TAACAAGTGATAGGACAAAAGGAAACAGCCTCAAGTTGCACCAGAGGAGGTTTAGATTGGATATTAGGAAAAATTTCTTTACTGAAAGGGTTGTGAAGGACTGGAACAGGCTGCCCAGGGAAGTGGTTGAGTCACCATCCCTGGAGGTGTTTAACAGATGTGTAGCCATGGTGCTTAAGCACATGGTTTAGCAATGGACTTGGCAGTGTTAGGTTAGGGTGGACTTGATGGTCTTAAAGGTCCTTTCCAACCTAAATGATTCTATTCTATGGTTCTATATGTCTGGCCATAGGGCGACATCACATCTGGAAACACCCTTACAAAAAGCTTGATATATTCTGGGCTGCTTGCAAGTGATATGAAACATAGAAGAAAGGATGGAAATCCCTGGTTGTTTCAGTGCTCCGTGGGAACGAGGTGCATGCTCAGGCTGTGGCTAACTGAGCTTCTCATGCCCCCACCGCCCCCACCTACTCAGTCACTCCAAAGCCTGGTGAGGTCTGATAAATCACTCTTGACTCAGCAAAACATTGCCACATGACACTGCAGAGCTAGTACTGTGAATGTTTCTTCATTCCAGCCATCTTCTGGCTGGGTAGAAGCCAACAGATCTGTAAATAACATTTGTAAAAGGAAGAGTTGCTGTGCCCTCTGAGTCTTTAGAGGTGTTTAATGGAATAGATGGGCTTTAAAATCTTACAGAGCCTGCGCTGGCATCTCTCAGGACCAAAATCCCTGTAGAGATTTCGCTCTTGTGAGTGAATTACTTTAAATCCCAAGAAAGTGATTTTATTATCCCCTGGGAAGGCTTTGGCGATGGTTAAAAGTGTGGAAATTACAGACTCCACCACCTCATTTCGAGTTGCCTCTGCTCTGAAGTGGAGAAACTGAGAGGCAGAGGCTTGCCCGCAATGCCATGGACACTTTAGAGCCCAGTGTTGCTTCTCTGTCCCCCACCAGCACGAGCAACACAGCAGACTTTTCTCCAGCAGAGCTCTGTAGCAGATGTGAGCAAAGCTGCATCCCCTTTGCTATGGATGAATTCGTGCAAGTAGGTTAAACTTTCTGGCCAGTCTCGGTTGCATAAACTGTTACAGCTGAACACTTTACAGTGTGCCAGGCGCTGCTTCCCTGCCCTTTCTCTCCACATTTCAGTTCAGCTCGGCCTGGGCCACCTTCACTGATGCACCCAGTTTCCTAAGTGAGGACCTGGAGGAGCTCAACCAGGTGTCCAGCAACCTGAGCAGCTCCAGTGTCACAGACTCCTCGAGTGTCACTGGAACTGCTCAGTAGAGGAACACCCCCAACCTTGGATATGTCTCACTGTGCCGGTCCCCTACACGGCTTTCGCTACTCAAAAGCCCTGGGCATACTTTGTCCAAGGGACAGTGGGACCTAGGGCTGGACCCTGCCACCAGGCTTGTCTCCTTACACTGTTGGGACTGCTGTCATTGTAGACAAAGCAACACCAGGCTTTGGATCTAAGTATAAGTCAAAGCTCTTTAAGAGCCTCAGTGGTATCTCTGTTTACCCCCGTCTGGCATTGCTACTGCAAGACAATATCCAGAAACATCCCTATCCCTCCCTGCAGTCAGGGACACAGCCCTGAACCCAAGGTTAGCCGAGGGATAAACATGGGGAGCCAGAGGACCTATGCTGTTGTCACTCTAGCAGTATGTCAGGGCACTTCTTCCAATTTTGTCTTGCATGACAAAGATAGAGAAGGAATTTTCAGGCTTGTCCTTCACTCACTAATTTGAGGCAGTTTTGGGGGTAACTTGCCTCATTGCAACACACTTCTCTGGGAGCAGGACCACCAGTCAGTAAGCCCTGTGTGACAAAATCTGCTGAGACTATGTGTGAAAGCAGATAATCCCTTCCTTCCCCTGCCTTGACTGAAACATGAAAAGTTGGGAAATGGATAAATTCTACAGGCAAAACTTTATGCAAAAGTGCAAACCAGTGTGCATACACTGTGCCACAGACCAGCATTGCAGGCGTCTTGCTGTCCACCAGCTGCCTCCTGAGTCTCCCCTGACCTTGTTAGACACAGATCTGCCAGGCTTCAGAGTCTGGCTCTCTGCACAACACTGGATCCAGCTGTCCTGCACCAGCCCCTGAGGTCTGCGGTGGTGTTAAATCACTCTCTTCACCTCCCCTCGGGCTGCCACTTGCTCTTGAGCTGTGTGAAATAAACAGGCAAATCCACCCGTCCCCAGGGAGGATGGGTATCTCTAAATTCGCTGCATACAGAGTCAGCGCTGACCATCTCCTGAGGCTGCCCACGCTTTGACCTTGCAGGTCTGGCCCACAAGTGTGTGCTTTAGCTCTGCAGTTTCTGAATAAACACTCCACGTTGTGCTGGAGGCATGCGGTTTCCCTCTTCAGAAAAGCCCCCAAATTGTCTGTGTTGGTTTTTCCTAGCCTCTGCAAATAAATAGACACGGCTCTCAGGGGATGTACAGTGACAGGCTGCAGCCGCTCTGCGTGTGCGTCTCGAGCCACCACATGGGGCTGAGATGCTGGTGCCCCTGCCCGGGGGAGAACGGGTCCCAGTTATGCACCATGCCATGGTGGGCATAACTTTCCCCTCCACCCTGGCAGAGAGCTGGGACAGAGCTGCCCAAATACATCCCGCCTGCGACTGGGTTGGCAGCAGCAGAAAACCCCAGGAGGGGGATGAGCGATAGCCCCACCAAAGCCTTTCCCCACCATGCAGGAGAAACACCATCTGAAGGTCTGCAGAGAAGGACTGGCAATGCAGAGAGCAACACGCAGCCAGACCACCTCTCCCTCACTACCCGAGGACTGGGAGGGGGCAAATGGGCTTGCAGAGCCCTGGGATAAATGAGCAGATGGTGTAATAGCAGCAGCCGTGAACAGGTGGGCAAGCTGTGTCCTGTCCTCTGCAGAAGTGGAAAGGGTCCAGGGAAGGAAAACAGGGACTATCAAAGCTCTGGAAAACTCTGAGCAACTAGCCAGCCTAGGATTTTTCAGAGCTTTTACTGAGAGAAAAGCTTTTAATGACAGCAGCCACCTCCGGGCCAGAAAATGGTGGATGCTGGGTCAGACGGATCTCCCATCTGACCAAGCATGGCTGTTCTATGCTCCTCAATACTATTTCCAGCTGCAGCATTGTCATGGTTTAACACCAGCCAGCAGCTAGAACCACGCAGCCACTGGAGCAGCTCTTCCCCTTGCCCCCATGAAGGGCAGAGAGAAGAGGGAGAAAAGGAGGGGAAAGGAAAGAGAAAAAAATTGGTGGGTTGAGGTAAAGGCAGTTTAATAAAAACAATAACAGAAAAGGAAAATAACAATAATAATAATGACATGAGTCATTCTCATGGTCCTGTGAATTGGCACTGTCCAAGCAGTGATCATGGATTCCTCCACCCGGCCAACCCCCATTAATACACTGAGCATGACACCTATGGTTCAGAATATTCCATCGGCCGTTCCATCGTTCTGTTTATACTCTTCCTCAGCTTCTGTGGGAAGCTGAAAAGAGTCCTTGAAAAGCATAAACTTCATTTAGCAAAAACTAAACCAACAGGAATTGTTGACATTTCTTTCACAGCAATCACTGGAAAGTGATTCGCTCTTTCCCAGCTGAAACCAGGACAAGCATTAAATGTATCAGCAGTCACTTTGTCGTGCATTACAGTGCCATGGTGTCCTAACTGGTGGTTCCAGGAAGGCGCAGAACTGAAAGGGGTGTATGGGGGTGGGTTACATGACCAGCTGGCCAGGCACAGTAGCCATGACACCAGCACAGCTCCCAGACTCACAGGGTGGTCACTGACTTCAGGGAGCTCGCTTGACTGGATGATGCACCCCGGACCTTTCCCCAGATGCCTGGAAACGAGTCGTGTGAGTAGAGCAGCAAGTCAGAGCACCATGATCCCCTGTGGGTGAGCACAGACCTGTCCTCAAGGGGGGTTAAATTCACACTGAAGCACTTTTCAAAACAACCCAGTGCTTTGCTAAAGCTGATCAGAAATTTCAACCAGTCGTTCCGTAGAAATACAACATCTAGTGCAAGACTGAACTGGATTCAGGAGGCAACTCCTGGATCAGCCAGTGCCTTCTGACCTCTGGCAATGCGAGCAAAGGGAGTCTCTTGCATACCCAAGTTGTGCAATCTCATTATAGGTATTTCATGAAAGGTGAGTTGTGTCCCATCTGGTAGAAGTGGGAGATGAAAGAGCAGAGGGAGCCCCAAGGACTGCTGATGCACACTTAAACTGTTACCTTGGTCGGACTGTGCCCTGCCACCATCCCAAAGATGGCCCTGACACCAGAAGCAACTTAGACCTGAAATTTGGCAACTGGCTGGGAACCTGCAGTTCACAGAGAGCATTTCTGGGTAATTAGTTCAGTTTGGAGGTTGCTCTTAAGTGCTGGAGCAGAGATCCAGGGCCCCTTGCATTCAAGGTCTCCAGTCGGGCTCTTTCCATGCTCCCGTGTGTTAAATGGGCTGATTCCTGTTGTGAAAGGCTCTTGGATAAAAAGCTGAAGATACGAAGTGCAGGTCTTGCTATTTTCAATTTATATCAGCTCTGGAAGTGGTGGTGTTTACTAGGGAGCCAGGGAGTTGTCTTCTCCCACGCTGAAGAAACTTTACTTTCCCCTTGCTAAATTTCCTCCAACAGAAAAAAAACTGCCCATGTTCAGCACGTTCTTCACTGGGATCTGTGTGTTTGTTGCTACTCCCACATGGCCTTTCTCACAGGAACGTGGGTGAAATAATACTCACAGTGCAAAGCCCTGATATGTGATGTGGACCTGAAATGAATGTTTTGACTGTATGCTTTTAGTAGCCCTTTGTGGGAGCTGGCTTGTGCTGTTTTCCCTCAGCCTTGCATAAAAAAGTGCTGTTGAAATAAGATTATGCATGTAATTTTATTATTCACCATTGCTAACTTAAATGTGCAATCAGCACAGAGAACACAGGATCAATCAATCACCTGTTTCTAGGCTCAAGAAAACTACCAGAAAGCTCAGGCATCTTGACACTCCCCGTCTTTCAAAATCCGGATGTCTTGCCTGGTTTTCCTAGAATAACATAGGAAAAAATAGTAAGAGCTCAAAAAAATACTCCCTGGGTCATACTGTGGTGCCCATCCAGCCCGTGGAACAGAGCTGACTATTATAAAATTGGCTTGCTCATTTTCATGTCTAAAAAGCTGAGGTGACTGCAAGCCATCCCAGCCCACACATGTCCCCTCCCCGGGCGTGCAGCATTGGTGGTGTGCCTCCAGCCCAACCTACTCACAGGACTGTCTCCAGTGTGAATTTATGGTGGCCGTGGCTCTGTCTGAACCCTAACCACCACTGCCCAAGGATGGAGACCGCTCCTACCTCCCTGCTGCACGACCCTCCTGGGGAAGGGGTTTCCCGTGTCCAACCTGTACCCTCTGGGGTTGCTGCTTGTGGCTGTTGCCCTGTATTGTATCACCTGCTACTACTAAGAAGAGTGTGGCTCCATCCTATTCGCAACCGTAGGATGCTGCTAGATCCCCCCAAGACTCCCCTTCCCCAGACTAGCTGGACGCAGCTCCTCCACACCTCCTTGCAGCTTCCCTTGACAAGCTGGTCATCCCCCTCCTCCTGCAGCCACGCACAGAGTTTGCGTTATTTGCTGTGCAAGTGCACTGCTGACCTGATCAACCTGATCTTCACCCTCGGTCCCTTTATGGCAAGAGCCCCTGCTCAGACTGTCACTTCCCAACCTGCATAAAATCAGTGCCCCAAAGTAACCCTTGTGCTTCTCATGAGGTCTCTGTTGCCCTAGTCCTTGAGTTTATGGTGGTACCTTTGGTTTGAATTTCTGCCTAAAGAGCTGTGAGGCACATAACTGGCCGTCTGGATTTGCAGATGTGCCTTTGAAGGACTTAGTGGTCCTATTTGACTGTCCAGACTAAATGCCTAGGAGACCTTTTGCTCATTTAAATTCAACTCTTGCTTCTCTAATTGCAGGCAGCAACGACAGTGGGACCTCTGCCCTTCCTCTATGGAGTGTCTGGTTTGTTGGCAGCTTGCAGGCACTCATATTGGAGGGTTTCCTGCCACGGACTCCTGACCTCACCTTTTGGATCTGCTGCTGCTGAAGCCACAGCGTGGTCTGATTTGTCAAGCTGATCCAATGGATTAATATTCAGCTCTTCTGTGGGATTAGTCCCCTGCCCACACAAAGAACTAAATCCCTCAGCCTGCAGCTGCACGGTAGTCACTAAGCGCAGTGCCAAGGATGGGGCAGGAACCTGCAGGGAAGGGCTGGGGGCATGCCTGCACCTATCTGTGAGCACTGCCAGCTGAGGAAAGTAGAGCTCACAGGCTTTACAGCCCAGCACCCGGCTCAGCTGACATGAAAAAGTCCTCTTGCACTTTGCTAGCAGGAACACACGCAGTCCCTGTCTGCCATGGCTTTCTCCAGGCACAGGGGGGCCCAAATGACGATACTTCACAAGTGCTCCGTTTCAGACGGACAAAATTAGACTCCTGGTGGTCTCTGCCAAGGGCATGAGCTTACATTTGCTGCACGCAGAGCTGGCATTCATTGGCGTAGGTGTTCCCGTCGGTCCCGCAGACAGGCAAGTGCAGGAGGGGGCAGGCCTGCAGCTCGACCATGTCTCCACACACCGGCTGGAAAGGAGAAACCGCAGCACACATTTCAGTGCCAGCAGCACCCACTTCTTCCTCCTGCTGCACCCGGGCAGGAGCAAGTGCCACTGGTGACCTGGTTCACTCTGCCCCAGACGGGGCTGGCCATGCACACAGAGCGGGAAAGCAGGAAGGAGAGGCCACCCCATCCCATGGGACTCATGACCTGGGCTTTGATGGGGGTTTGGTGCCAGAGCACCGGTACCCACGAGGCTGGGGCTGATTCCTGGGAACAGCCTTTCTCCCAGGCACGCCAGGCACTAAATCCCATCTCAAGCCATGAACAAGGAAAAACAGAAACCTCTTACCCTTCGCAGGCCATTCCCTTCATTCAGCTCTGCCCCTCACACAGACCA